TGAATCAAGATGAACCTCCAAAATTTTTACAAAGAGAATTTTCTAATTGAAAAAAAACCAACCTAATAAGATGGTGTAAAAATTTCTGTAGGAACTTGATACTAACTCCTTATATAAGAGATTTTACACTCACTTTCTTGCTCAAAAGATAAACCTTTAAACATTTTCTATCAACTGTGATGGTTCTCATGAAAATTATAGTATGTGTCCATTAACACAGGCCCTGCCCAACAGAAAAATCAACAGGGAACTTAAGTTATGCAATTATGATGAATTTTCTTCTCACGGTGAATTTTCATTTTGATTATGTTTTCCTAGACAGACACTGACAGGATAAGCTTTTCTCAGCTGTAACTCACTTTGCTAGCATATAAATTATACCTTACAAATGACAACAGTATCATCTATTATTCCATAATCAATCATCTCAAAGACTCTTCAGAAAAGATTAATTTCCTCTAATCTCTATTTCTCAGGAAGAGGAGCATTTATTGCATAATTTATAGCCATATAAATATATTTTTACCTGCAAAAGAAATGTTGCAACTCTTTGGTGTGTCCACCTCTGGTATAACACTAAGTTCATGCTGTTCCAAATCAAGGCCTAACTTGACTTTCGTCACAGGTGGTTTGGAAGATCTCCACTTCTGTTCTCTACACAGAACTTTCTCAGACTGTTCTGTAAAACAAAGTTTTGCAGTTTAAATTTCCCTAGCACACTGCAATAATATATGTATATATATCACGTTAACTTGGGGAAATGGAAGAGAACTCCAGCTCAGCTGCAAAATGAGGAAAATTATAATGAAAAAGACTATACAGCCTTACCAGTGCGCTCAGTTGGACCAATGCACGGTGAAGTCATTTCACTTCCATGAAACGTACTCCTGCCACAATTCTCTTGCTGATAGTTCTCTGAGACTTGCAAAAAGTCAGTCCTATCAATCCGGTCAGGCTTTCGTGCCTCTGTCATTCCTTCATTTGTGCAGATTTGTCTCACCTTAGACAGAGGGGGCAGGGAAAGCAACTGCATATACAACTGTATTTATACTCACTTATCAAACCAGCATTTTCCTGTGTGTGTACTCCATACAGGACAATATGTAGCACTTTGAGAAAGTAGTTCAACTATGCAAGATATTGGACAGACTCGGTTAGCTAACAAAAGCATCTAGATACATAAGTATTTTATTTAGCTCTACTTATGTAAATAATTATGTTTCAGCACATTATTTACATTTTCAAGGCCTTTGTTAGATTAGAAGAATACTCAGCATTTTTAACAGGAACAATTCCTGAAAAGTCTGCTTTTAGTTTTTCAGCTCCTGAAATCAGGAATTTTACCTGTTGGACTCTAGGCAACAGTTATTTTTCTAAGATAGCTTCTGTTTATAAAAGGGGGGGGGGGAGGGAGGGGAGCCAAAGGAGCTTCTGTTGAAGCTCAAAAATAAACTTGATTTTTTCTTCTGTTACCCAAAACCAAGCAAAATCACAAGTCAAGAGTGCAGCTGCCAAACCAATTTCCTATCATGTACACATAAAAAGATAAACTTTAAAAAACAATCTATTCGAAATGCTTACGATATCCTACTGCTGATGTCTTATTAATACAAAAGCCGTTTTACACATACGGCTGCATTTCTAGAGCCGAAGAAAACTATACCTGCAGACATTGCAGACAGCATAACTATTTCAATAAGCATTATGTTCAGAGACCAAGCACAGAAGTTCATCCTATTTCTATTAGGCAGAACAAAACGGTGCTCTTGAGACTTACAGAAAAGAACCACTGATTACAACCTAATAAAAATTTCATTCCAGTAAATCACCTAAAACTATCAACGCTCCACGGGATACTTTGCTAATTGGTAGCATTTGCTCTTAAGTTTGATCACCTACTAGATGACTCGCCATGCAAAGTATTTTTAAATCTTACCTGCCTGTTCAGAAATCCTTTCAAAGCCTCTTGCTGTCTCTGCATCTGTTCCTTCAATTTATCTTGCTTCCATAAAAGTAGTTGTTCTTGTACTTTCTGCCTAGAAAGAAGGGCTTCTCTTTGTCTATCTAGCTGCTCTTGCAATTCTTTCAAATACTTTTGCTGAGCTTGGATGCTCTCTGATGAGGCCAACAGTCTGTCCCTTAAATTAATTATACCAGAATAATTTAACAAAGATGCATCTCCTGTCTTCGATATCAAGAAATCTTCACTGTCCTGGGCTTTAGATTCTTCATGAGATAAAGTCATGCGTTCAGAAAGACTGCGGGGTTGTTCAAGGCTTGTTTTGACGGTGCTCTCTGCAGATCCCTGCCAATACGCCAAAGGATGAGCTGAGGCTGCCTGAACTACAGGAGATCCCTTTGCTGCTGGTATGAGGGGTGCCTTAAGCAAAGGCTCTTCTCCTGCTTCTGTCTCAGTCTGATGGTTAGACATCTTCTGAGATGACTCTTTAAAGTGCACTGTTTCTGAAGGCTGAGAGGAATCTTCTGCAGGCAAAAGAAATTTAACAGTTTGTACGCATGTTTCCCTGATGTGATTACTGGAGGTTTCCAACATTCCCACTTGTTCCTGTGAAGGACAGCCACGTGGCAAGCTGAACTCTCCACGCTTCATTTTTGATGCTTCTAAAAACTGCACGTGTCCAGCAGGACAAACGTTACGCATTTGCTCTTCACGTTTCTGTGAAGGCAGTTTTTCCAACATATGCAGTGTTCCTGAAAATGCAGGTGGTGATGGTGCACACCCTTGTGCATGAACGTGTTCAGAGGACTGGTACTGTGTTGGTTGCTCTCCTCCTCTCTCTAGGAGTGGTTCTGAGATGGGCTTTAAATTAATTGAATTTGTTTCCACAGAGCTCGGAGGTGCTGCAGGAGTAGACAAGTATCTTTGCTTCAATTTATTCTGATATTGCTGTAGACGCTTTCTAGCTTGTTCAATGGTCTGTTTGTGCAGCCTGAACAGAACAAAAACATGCATCTTTCCAGAGTGGTGCAAAGATAAACATAAATTTCAATAATCACAGCAATTCAAATTACTTTGAAACTGGCAAGTCAGTCTTCCATTTCATAAAGGAATTTACCTATTTTGCTGTAGAAGGTGTTGTTGATAATTACGAATCTTCTGTAAATGGCCATCTTCTCTAGGACTCCTGGTTTCCAGTACAGTAGTATTTCCAGTCTAATCAAAATAAAATAATTTTAAGCGCACACAGACAAATAACTCACAGAAAACTGATAAAGCAACAACCTTAAGCTGTGTGTTCTTTCTCCTAAGTTTACAGAAGCCACTCTCTGCCACCATTTGAAGTCCGTGAGATTTCAGCCTGAGGCAATGAAGCTGAAGCGGTTTCTGGAACAGATGGCCTACAGCTACAGTCTCTCTTGGCAAGCAGAGCATGCGCTGTCAAAGTCAACGGTGCTTACAGCAGCTTAGCTCAAAGAGGTAAATGTACCCTGTAGCAAACTCAGGGAGCAATGATCCAACAGAGCTGCATTTTCAAGGCAATCAGATTCTCAGAAGAGTACAGGTTGTGCAAATGATTTGAGATTTAAAAAAGAATGTCATTTTCCTTCAACATCCCCCATAAATTCCTCTCCTTTACATAGCTGTCTGAGATTTAGACAGAAACTGTAGAGGTGGATGTTCTTCGTCTTTTGTTTTCCCTAAGATTTTTTTTTCCTCTTGAAAAAGGGTATGTGTACATGTAGACTTTACCAACAGGTATTTAAAACCAACATGCTGTCTCTAGGACTATGAAAAGACAATCCAATATTCAAAGTGATATAATGTGAAATAAAAGCATCTACATTAGACAAAAGGAAGCTTTTATATGTACAAACTCCTGATTCATAGCCAAAGAAATAAAAATTGATTGTCTTGATTGATATAATTTAAACTTAGCAAGTGGTACTCTTGATTTTTATAAGGATAATAAAAAATACAGTCTTCTACAGTTTTTCACCTCATGTTCCACATTCTCCTGATGATCTGCAGAAGGAGCACTGTGTACCACCTGACCTTGCTCTTCCTCCTCTTTTTTTCCCTTGGCCTCCTCCAAACATGTCTGCATTTGGATCTGCCAAAAACGAGCCTCCAAACGTGCTTTCTCTTCTTCAACTTGTTTAAGCAAGGCCAGCTGTTCCTGCTTCTGTTGCTCTATTTGCTCATTCTATTGCGAAGAAAAATGAGGATGAATCTCCAGAACTAAATGACAAAGAAATCAAAGACTCCTCACACACACCGCCACACACAAAACTTTGTTCCAACTTACAGCAGGA